TATAGTATATATCTGTATATATGTGTGTGTCTATGTGTGCGTATGTATGTATGTGTGTGTGTTTGTGTGTGTGATTCTAATCTATGATAATGGCTCAATATAGTACCTACATAACAGTTGACAGATGTTCATAAAGTGCGTTTCGCAATCCCTTGTAATATTAAAGTCACAATTCAAAATTCACCCAGTTTAAATGTCAAACTTGTGGGTCGGCAAATGAAGCGGAGATGTTATGGTAAGTGACTTTTGATTAAAAACACAGGTGTACTTACCAAGCTTTGCGTATTGTATGTTTCTTTTGCCACTACTGGTTCCTGTTGTGCTACATAGTAATATATTACAATCAGAATAGAACCCAGGACGGCCATTCGCAAGTTATTTGACAAGGTAAAGCGTACCATATTGAGCAACGCATGCACCTTACGATAATCAAATCTGGTCTCTCCTTTCAACGCATAATGTTATTGAAAGGCATAAATATACTGAGATAGATTTTGTAAGGACTCACTATTCAGGTGCTCGCATAAAATATATTTATACATATTTCATAATCAGTTTAATCACCGCTCAAGAACGAACAAGAAGCCGAAATATGTGATTGGCTCTAGAACATATATTTATATATTATTCATGGGTGGGAACTACTTGGAAGTGTAGGTTGCTCTAATTGTGGTGGCGTGTGTAGGTGGCTACATCCGTAGGTGGCTCTATCTATGGTGGTTTCAAGATTTCTCTAAAAAGTGTTTCAAAAGACGGTTTGTTCTAAAAATACTTTTTCAGTAAAAAATCGAATCCTTTACACTCCTACTGGCTACTCTCTCTAGTAGAGTACTCTCTACTCTCTACTAGAGTCTATTCTCTACTCTACTCTAGCTGTAGAGGTCAGCCGTTCGTAAGGTGTAAGCATAGCCAGACGCCAGACTTGCATTTTGCAAGCAGTTGTAAATATAAAAGCAATGACATTGACCAACCATAATCACGATTCATTCCCTATGGTTAACTGACACTCATTACAGTGACATGGTGGCGCCGTGGCGGTCTATGGGAGGACACATACTAATATGTACTTGGATATTGGACCTCATATTGATTTTGGGGCCACTGTTTGCTCTGAAAAGTTGAACATTTTGGGTTCAAAACGTTGAAGCGTTCAACGTAATGAGGTCTGCAGTCTAGAGACTCCCACTAGAGAATCTCTCTAGAGAGAGAGACTCTGAGAGAGTCGGTGGGGCCGCTGGCGGCTGGCGCTGGCCGCTGGTAGCCTGGTGGCTGGTGGGCTAGACTAGAGAGTGGCTGGTGCCATTCTCTATAATTTCTATTGAATCAGATTGGTTTGTACATATTCACCATTTACATATAGAGTACAAATCCAACAAGAAATAGTTTTTTTTGAATTGGCATGTTGTGGATATTTATATAAATATGTACTAAAGAGTAAAATAGATGATTGTGTTCATGTGATGTGATTTCACTGTTTCAGATTTGCGAATACGATTTTTTATACTCTTTTTTTATTTAACAAAAGATAGATTGAAAACAAAAACGAACCTCTTTCTTTATGAAATAGGCGCGTTCTCCGATATTTTTTTTATACTTTTTTTTTAGAAGGCTATGATTAATTTTTCAAAATAATGCATTTATTTACTGTATAAGACCACAAGGCACAAGCCTCCAGGCCGTACGACGTATAATTTTGAAAAAAAACGTAGTATCGTATCGTATGTAGTCTACACAAATAAATAAAAGTAAATACATACATACTGAAGCAGCTCGATAGCATTAAAGTATGTTTGCTGGTCGACATGTGTATAAAAATATTCCTAAGGTCTCCCAGAGTCCCAGGTCTATTTTTATAATTTACTCTAGAGTCTTGTTCTTTTTAGGAGGCTAAATATGGTCTGATTGTCAGCTCCATTTGTTCTTTTTTCATTCTATTTAAAAACAAAAAAAACAAAAACCTTATTTCATAGCCTTCTTGTCTTCTGATGAAGTTCTGAAGTTCTGCAAAGCCTACTAAATTAATTAAACATTCTAAAATTATAAGTATGTAGTATTTATAAACAGACTGAGGCCCTGAGCCAGGTATCCTATCTAAAGAGGTACCTGAGACAGACTTTTTTTTGGGTTTATAGTTTTTGTACCAACTTCCCATATAAATTCGATTATCTGATGCCACAGGATCCGATATTATAATTGTTGAATTTCGAATTCTAGACTTGTAATCCAATCTATACGACTAATTAGAATAAGCGTTTTAATTTTAAGCAAATCGGTTGGTTCGTTCAGGAGAAAGGATTGTACCGTTAGCAGTATAAATGTACCCACAGCTTATCATACCGCTAACGGTATAAATTTTATCTCGAGAACTAACCAACCGATCCGTCTAAAATTTAAGCTACCTTTTTAATTAGTGTCACAGAGGGTATTACAGCTCTTAAAACCCCGAATATACTGGCTCAAAATTCGGGTAGCTGACTACAATTCATACCAAATATGTGCACGTTGGACCCCCAAAAATAGTGACGTCATCCGAAAGGGGGGTTGGCTTGTTTTTTTCTTCAGAAGGGTATATTAATTTTCACAACGTGTGGAATAGAATGCGTTAGCGGTTTTAACGTGGAGCATTTAAAAAAAAACTTTATCCTGTAATTATTTACAGCAATAACGTAGACTACCCCTGGGCCCTGACTCCTGACTGCTAAGCTCATTACGTTAGGAGGGTACGAAATAGAAGTTAAACGTTAACGCATATTTATTCGATTTTAAACGTTATAACGGTAATAATGTGATCAGATGGGCCTACCTAAGTTCTTTTTATAGGACTGGATTGTATGCTTAAAACACTACATACTGACATGTTTAGACCCAAAAGGTACACCTGTTAGCATGCAAAGAACCTCATATGGAATAAATGTTGAACGTAAATGTATAATTCGATTTATAAGAGTTTTAACGGAAACCGGTTTGAAGGGATAGCTGACTTGCTCCTGAGTCCTGAATGACCCTGAAACTCTCTGTCCCTGACTCCCTGTGTTCACTCAACGTTCTTTAGGCCAAAGGCCCAGGGTCACAGGCAAAGCCTCACGGCTCACAGCAGGGCCACAGGGTACATGTCAAAGGACACAGGCCACAAGGCAGTGAGACGCAAAGTTGGCTAATATTTTGTGTAAGAATAAAAAAAAGGGCAGTGGTGCAAGACTCCAAGTCCAACCAGTTGTGTGAGAGATTTCATTTGAGACGGACTGAACTCTTAAAGTCTGTCTCGGTTTTCTATATTGAATCAAAGGGATAACTGTTTACATTTATATGTACATAACTGTTTTTTGAAAAGAAATAGAAAAAGCCTACATAAATGGGGTCCGTCCTCACTCCTCACTTCTCAGTTCTCTCAGGACTCGGGCTCACCCCCTGCGGCCCGTGCCCTGGCCCCTGAGGCTAACCTCATAACGTTTGGCGTCATGTATATAAACTTCAACTTTTCAACGTTTAACGAATTCTTTTTTAGCGTTGCAACGTATTTTGGTATATTTTAACCTGTAAATTGTGACCTGCTATTATCAAACCTTTGGTCTCAGGTTTCCATATCAGGTGTCGTCAAGACAAAAGGTTGGTATGTATATACCTATTGCCTAACCTGGAATATGGCCCTACAAATATAAACGGGACACTGAAAAGGAAGTATACGTTTGATTTTAAATGTTTAACGGATCATTATTTGCGTTGCAACTTATAACGATATGAGATTAGCCCTGAGGCTGGCTCCTGAGTCCTGGGTCCTGGGCTCCTGGCTGCAGCTATTATTTATGTAAATTGTAAAATAAATGCATATATATATAGTCAATGAGCTTTTTTTATAATAATAGCATTTATATAATTTAGCTAAAAATTTTGCGAGTTTTAAGTATTCTACTGGACTATATCTCACGCGTTCCACAAGATCCAAGACACTTTGAGAGCCGTCATAGTACATGATGGGTTATCTGATCTCTTGTGTGCATGCTTGACCACCGCCGTGGTTACCCACTTTTATAGTAGCTATACCGACATTCTTTTCATTAGTGCTGGGGGCACAAGTTGTTTCGCGCAGTCAGCTCAATGAGTGGAGGGTATGGCCGTTAAATCACACCAGAACACAACAAGTTATAATATATTCGCCTACACAGGGAATGGCAGCAACACACACACAGGCCTTCAGCCTTCACATAACATTGATAGCAAACCACCCAGAGGCTTCATGAGTCCCCGATTAGCGCGCGCAAAGCGCAATATGGAGGCTAATCTCACCATATTTAAGGAGGTATATTATACAATGTTATCCCGTTATTATTTCTGCCACAGAGTGAAGACCACACGTCGAAATATGACATCCGCATCAGACCGCTCGTGAGCTATTTTGCATAGAATGTCTGTATGTATATGGGCGTGTTGCATGTGGAGTTAAATTCGCAATAATTACATTTTTTACTATGTGCTGCTTCATATGTATCTATATACGTAAAAGAAACACGCATACCTTTACATGGGTATATGAATAATATATTTACTAGTATT